TCTCTAACATTGGAGGTAAATCAAACAGTTCCTTTTTTCCTGTCCTTCAACTCTCACATTCAACTTTCTTTTCTTTCCATACTGAAATCTTTTGGTTAAAGTAAAGTTACTAATTTTTTTTCCTGTTTAAAAGTTTAAACCTTTGATCAGAATATATTTTGTTCTGCAGAACCTCAGAATATGATTTAAATGATATCTCACTCATCCAGATGGGCTTAATTGCTAATGTCAGTAGTTTGCATATATAAAATACAATGATGATGATTATTGTTACATAGTAAGAAAGAGAGACTGTCAGCATTGCTTATGATCATTACATTAGCTGTTGCTTTATCAATAATATTCAGTTACTTTGATTCAGGATCTAGTTAGTGCTTAACTTTTCAGCTACAGCTTTTTTCCTTAATCTTATAGGATTGGTTGGAAAAGAAAAGAGTCTTTCTGCTGGAACTGCAGAGAATTAAAAGGAACAAAGCAGAAAATTTAAGGAACGCAAATGAAAAGGTTTGTTTAAATTTAAATATTTGATTAAATGGAAGCTAGTCAACTGCTACTGTAAAATAATATGATTGCAATATTTGTGGTGGTATATTTTAAAAAAAGGAAAACATACATAAATTAAATATAGTGAAAACTGGTATTATTCTCTTCATTGGGGCTACTTTACAACCACTCTGCCATTAACAAGCATCTCTAAAGCCATTATAGCAAGCCATAAGAAAATTGCCCCAGTTTATGTGGAATGGAGCTGATGTAATAGCTCTTATGTCCTAATCCCTGTGGCTGCCACAGGGAATGTGATTGGGGAGGGGGGCAGGGGGAGGAGGGAAGAAGGGTGTGAGTCATGCTTCCCTGTACCTTTATAATTCCTGAATGCTATATAAATTAAATCTATCTTTGAAGGTTCCTTCAGTTACTCTTTATGCTTTTTTTGACTGCAACCAACAGCCTTGATCCATCTTTGTATTTTTTGCCAGGTCTACACTAGGGGATAAGTTTGAATCAAGATATGCAATTCCAGCTTATGTTAACTGAGTAGCTGGAGTTGATGTACCTTCATTTAAACCTTGGCAGTGTTCCCACAGTGTGGGATTGATGAGAGAAACACTCCCATCAACTTTCCTTACACTCACAATGAGTTATGGCATGGACAGGAGCACCCTCAGCATTTGATTTAGCAGTTCCTGACTAGACCCACTAAATCAAAGGCCAGAAAATTGATATCTAGAGAATCAATCCATGGGTAAATATAGATGTTGCCTTTATTATGATAATAATGGGATGGTCTGTATTTCAGCCATGACATTTAAAGCAGTATATGAAGATTTCCATGCTCTATCTTGACATTTCTGTATTCAGCTATACATAAGGATCTATATTCAGAACAGCATGTATGCAATTATATCATTTTCATCTTATAAATAAATTCCCTTAATATTTCCTATTTAATAACTAATGTTTTTATACACAGTCTTCAGAAGGGAGTCATAGTAGTTTTTATATCTTACACTCTTGTAGAAGTCACTACATCCACTAGGGTCAATTTCATGGTCATAAGATTCTAAAAGCATTTTTGGCTCTTTAAATCTAAAATATCATGGTGTTGTAATTGTACAGATCCTGATCTAAAAAGGAATTAATGGGGGGAGGGGGGGGGTCATGGTACTACTACCCTTCCTTCTGTACTGCTGCTTGCGGCGGCAGTTCCTTAAGAGCTGAGCAGCTGCAGAGTGGTGGCTGATGGCTAGGAGCTGATATAGTATTGCCACCCTTACTTCTGCATTGCTACCTTCAAATCTGGGCCCTCAGTCAGGGGCTGCAAACGTCAGGGCACCCAGCTCTGAAGGCAGCCATGCAGAAGCAAAGGTGGTATGGTATTACCCCTCTTACTTCTCCACTGTTACTGGCAGTGTAGCTGGATTCAGAGCTGGGCACCTGGCCAATAGCTTCCATTCTCTGGCTTCCCAGCTCTGAAGTCAATGCAGAAATAAGAGATAGAACCGTCCCCTCCCCTAAAATAAACTCATGACCTGCCTGCAGCTAGTTTTGTCAAAGCCCTCAATTTAGGAAATGCTGGTCTCACCCATGAAATCTGTATAGCATAGTGTAAAAGCTCACAAATAACCAGATTTCACAGTCCATGACTCATGGCTGTATATCTGGTTAGACCCTATTCATATTGTACGTCACAAAAACTGGTCATGTTTGAACAATAGTTCAAATCACAACTAAACCATTGATTAAGAATGTTTTCTGCATTTTAGTTTTCTTCTATTTATTCTTTGGCAAACACTATATTTGAGAAGGAATTTAGAAAATGCCAAGTTTTTTGAAGTATAAACTTTTCTTACGTAGAAAGAAGCTGCTAAGAAAGAAGAAGCATTTGCATCTTTTGAAGCCTGGAAGGCAATGAAAGAAAAAGAAGCAAAAAAGAAACTAGCTGAAAAAAAGAAGCTTGAGGAGTTAAAGAAACAGAGAGCAGCAGAACTGAATGAAGAGAAAAAAGAAGAAGCGCAAAAGGCAGTGAGACATCTATACCTAACAGACACTTAACTCAAGAGCAGCGAGGAGTCCTGTGGCACCTTATAGACTAACTGAAGTGTTGGAGCATAAGCTTTCGTGGGCAAAGACCCACTTCGTCAGATGCATCTGACGAAGTGGGACTTTGCCCACGAAAGCTTATGCTCCAACACTTCAGTTAGTCTATAAGGTGCCACAGGACTCCTCGTCGCTTTTGCAGATTCAGACTAACACGACTACCCCTCTGATACTTAACTCAAGAGAGTCTTTAGTAAAAATGTAGTTGTTAACCCTCTGATACTTAACTCAAGAGAGTCTTTAGTTAACAATCAAACAAAAATGTAGTTGTTAACAATCATACCCATAGATCGCAACACCCCAATCTTTTGGATAATTCATATCTAGATATTCTTTGTAACAGGAGCTAATCTCTCATCCTGTGCATGTACACACATTTTTCTATTGACACTTCATTTTTATGGGAAATACTTTGTTCCATGTACATCAAGTAATTAATCAGACCAGTAAACATGTTGGCAGTGGAGAGGTTTTTCTCATGAACTGGGAGTAGTAAATTCTTCCTGCTCCTTGTAGCAGTATCCTTTGCTGAGCTTCTAATCCTGTGAATGAGTGTTACAAAGGGGGTTGGGCAGGAAAAGAAAATATGTAAGGGAGATTTTGAAACAAATGTGTTGGGCAACTTTGCTAATGAGCTTGGGGTCTTCTTTAGGCATTTGAAAAATGGAAAGAAAAGAAAGCAGAATATCTAAGAGAACAAAGTAGAAAGGAAAAACGAGCTGAAAGAATGAAGAAGAAGAAAGAAGAGGAAGCTATTGCAGAGAAGAAACGAGACAGCATGTCTGCCGTTGATAAATGGTACTATACAGGATTTAGATATGTGACTGTGAATAGGCCAGCATCTTTGTCTAATAATTTTGCAGGGAATAGATGATACACTGAATTAAATCATTTTTTGGGGGGGCCTGAACCTACAAGGGGCCAAAGAATCCTCCATTCCAATGAAAACCAGTGAGAGGAAAGGATGATTAGCAGGCTCACAGGCTCAGGCCTATTGTTCCCAAATGTGAGGGTGGTAGCGGCATTTTTGTTCTCATTTGTCTACAAGTTGAATTGAAAGTCTCTGCACAAGAAAGGCCAATGATTTGAAAAGAATGAATAATGCAAATAAAAAATGAGATACATTGGGTAGCATGGAATCTTGTACTACCAATCACATGCTCAGTTAATGAACCAGGATTAAAAAAGCAAGTCCTACATTTTTGTGTTTTAATATAGTCTATTGTGTTTCTTTGAAATCCATAAAATGTCTGGACAAAGAAGGTATATTCACCAGTGTCTGTTGGATAGATTTTTTTTTTCTAATGTCACCAAGAAGTGTGCTTTACAGAACCAGTGAAATTGATTTGTACCTGAGTGTTTATAGTCTAATTTTAGAGATGACATAAAGTATGAGGGAAGGGAGAAGGAAGGAAAAGGATTACAACAATACCAAAGGGTAACACAGTTTATACATGAACATATTTTGATGATTTAGAGGAGTTATGCATGTGCGGTAGGCATGGGGGCCAACAAACTTGCAGGACCCCTGGGCAAGGTATGGGGTGAGGGAGATCTTGGCTCCACGCTCCCAGAAGGGGTGGGGCCTTCGGTTGAAGGGGCAGGATGGGGGAGAAGAGGGCAAGCAGCCCTCAGTGCCTCTCAGAGCATGCCATCGTGCTCCAGTAGCAATTTAAGGGCTCCGGGGCTCAGGCCACCACTGCAGTAGCAGCAGATGGGAGCCCCAAGACACTTTGGAATCACCAGGTTCCAAGGCAACTGCCCTCTTTGTCCCTGGCTGCTGTTGGCAGGCCTGGTTGGTGGCCTTTGAAGATTTTTGTAAGCTTTCTTTGTAGTTTATGCTCAAACTATGCTATCAAATTTGTCAGTAGACATAAATGTTAATTCATGGCACTGTACAGGATGTTTAGTTAACCAATCAAACTTGCAGCATTTCTTTAATTTAATGAGTAGTATCTTATATTTCTTTTCATATTTAGGAATGAGAAAAAGGAAGAATTTTTAAAACAAAAGAAAACAGAAAAAATCCAAGAGAAAAGAAAGCAAGAAATACATCAGGTTGAGAGGGAAGAAAAAGATAAAAGGGCTATAGAGGAATATGAAAGATGGCTGGTTAGTATTTTTTTCACCCTTTGTTAAAAAGCACAAGGATAAATTTAGTAAATAATGTGTGTGAATAACTTTTGAATTATAATCTTTTTAATGTTTTTCATTGTGTTATGAAAGTGGCCTGGTGATGGCAGTAGTATACCTTTTTCTACAGTTCCTCTGAGAGTTATTTTTGCAAATTGCTTACAAAGTGCAGTATATATGGCATCTGGCATACTTGGGATATATTCTCCCTCCATGTTTGCAGTAGAGTTCTTTGCATTTTACAGTCAGTGAAAGTACAGTCTTCTCTTCTCCCATTCAATGTCAGGAAGAGCCACCTCTGAAGGGCCAACTCAGCACAGCACAGAACCAGCAAAGACTAGAGGCAGCACCAGCTGCAAAAGTGAGTGCATTTAGATTCAAGGAAACCATTTTAATTACAGGAAGTTGTATAAATCAAAATAAATAAGAATGGTTACATTGAAGGTTGAGATTTATTTCAATTTGATAGGAAGAGCTGACCTCTGATGTGCTATTTTGAGAAGTCATTGACAGCTTTTTCAGTCCCACAAGATGCCTTCATTAACACTCAGGAGAACACTAAGAGAGAGATAGCTAACACATAGGATCATATATTGTACTCTCAAAGGGTATGATTTTCTGATAAGGAGGATGTCTACCTTTTTCCCCATCTCCACCAGCACCTGTGGTAATACACACTGACACGCCAATCCTGCAAATACATAGGCACTTCACTTTATTGAAATTATTTTCATGCTTAAAAGTAAGTATGTACAAAAGTGTTTACAAGGTCAGGGCCTAACTGGCATGCTTATCGCTGGTCTTCAAGAGCAGATTGTATCCCACATTACATCTCCTCTGTCCATTTTCTGAAATCTTTCCCTGGATTGTGGCTCAGGTCACTGTATTGTGGAGATCACATCAACCAGTTTTTTCAGTTCATTCTTGCTCTGCTGGCTACAGCAGTATTTAAGCTCATATAAGAATAAATAGGATATAAAACTTTTATAAATTTAGAAAAAAGAACAGTTGTATGACCTCCGGTTGTCAATTTCTTAGCCAGATAACTAGCCGAACTTTTGTATGTACCCAGATTATTGGGGTGAGTAATTCTAAGAAGATAAATAAGTAAAGAAAGTATCTTATTAAAATAAGAATTTTAGGGAAAACAAGTAACTCAATTAAAATCTATTATTTTTTCCACTAGGAATCATTAGGAGACATAGTTTTAAGAATTTAATTAAATTTTTCAGCTCATGGAGCACTTGGCAATCATTATGGATACCATAAAACGGGAATTTAAAAATCCTCTCTTCATACAGAATTCTGAAACATAAAAATACAGTAGAGCTAAGAAGTGTGTTATTACTAAAATCACTGTATCATAGAACCAGAAGGGACCTCAAGAGATCATAGAGTCCTGTCCCCTGCCCTCATGTCAGGACCACACACTGTCTAGATCATTCCTGACAAGTGTCTGTCTAACCTGCTCTTAAATATCTCCAGTGATGGAGATTCTACAACCCCCCTACGCAATTTATTCCAGTGTTTAACCACCTTGACAGGCAGGAAGTTTTTCCTAATGTCCAGCCTAAACCTTCCTTGCTGCAATTTAAGCCCATTGCTTCTTGTCCTATCCTCAAAGGCCAAGGAGAATTTTTTTTCTCCCTCCTCTTTGTAACACCCCTTTAACTACTTAAAAACTGCTATCATGTCCCCTCTCAAATGTCATTGTGGTGTAGAGTTCACTGATTTTGTGGATGCATATTTCATGGTAAATGCATTGACAGGATTTTTTCCATCCTGGAGTTTAAAACCCTAGGAATGGCAACACTGAGTTTTTGTTATTAACACTCTAAAATTCTAGCTTGAAAAAGATAAATTAAATTGAAGTGTTTCCCATATAGTAACTCTAGTAATTAAAATTTTCTGGTTTTGTGATATTATTTACTACTTAGCTTCTCAGTTTAATAGCAATATTGATTTGATTTCAATTTTGTGATACCATGGAGTTGTATAAACACCTGAAATAGATTAACAGAGGCATGTAGGCATATTGCAATGTTTGCCAGCATATATACTGACGTCACTCCTGATTCTATGGTTCTAACTGGTGAGTCGTGAGATTTCAAATAAGTACTCTTTGAAATCTACAGATCTTTGAGATTTGTATACTATAGCAAGTTTATGTGCCTTCTAAGAAGCTTGAACCTTATTCTGAGGAAAACTCTAATCATCTGAAGGAGTGGGCTGTGCCCACGAAAGCTCATGATACCATCTACATGTTTTGTTAGTCTATAAAGTGCTACCAGACCATTTGTTGTTTTTTAAACTTATTCTGAGGGTTAGCATCACTAACATCCAGTATTTAACATCTCATGATGTACCTAAATACATTTATATATTCTATAAGTGTGGTAAGTTGAATTAAATGATGGGTTTTACAGATTTTTTTTGTGTGTGTGTGTGTGTTAAAAATAACTGAGTTTGGAGTATTTACTAGATATATGTTAATAAGGCTTATTTTGAAAAATTGTATATATTAGAAATCTAGCCCAGTAATGGGGTTGTAGTGCTCAGCAGTGTTAAAATTTGAGATATGCTACTTCTTCTTCGAGGGTCCTCATGGGTGCTCCCCTCAGGTGTTTCCCTTCAAATGGGAGGTCTTCGATATTCAACTGGACTTCCCTGGGGAATCTTGACAGCTGTAGACAGGATATGTGTCTCAGTACTAGCTCTGAGGCCACCTGTGCCATCCAGTGCTGCCTATAATGCTGTTCAGAAAATCAGGGAACCTTCCCTGATATTGGCTGGCCTGGTTGGAGAGCTTTATGTCTAGCGCGTCCGTCATTCTCCGAAACAACTCTTGGAAATGCCTGAGGGGAGCACCCACGGGAACACATCTCGAAGAACTCCAGTTACTGCACAAAGTGAGTAACCTTCCATTATTCTTGTATCTTTCTCCCTAATGCTTCATTCACTATGTAAAACAAAATCATTATGTTTTAGCCGCACTGCCATGGGGTATGGTCTTGTCAGATACAGGCAGTCCCCGGGTTACGTACAAGATAGGGACTGTAGGTTTGTTCTTAAGTTGAATCTGTATGTAAGTCGGAACTGGCATCCAGATTCAGCCACTGCTGAAACTGATCAGCAGCTGATTCCAGGAAGCCTGGGGCAGAGCAACTCTGCCTC